CGCTTTCACTGTGCATGTCGCCTCATCCAATTGGAGTCCTTGGACTTCTGCATGCGCTCGGATGTTGTTCAATGGGACCTCAAGGTGGATAACGAACAGTAAGGGTGCTAGTGGGCAGCTCTGCCTCAAGGAGCACGTGAGGGAGAAGGTGGTCGACAGATGCCCGTTCACCATCACCGGGGCGGTGGAGAACGAGTATATAGCTGTCACCCACGTGCAGAATACCTCGCCAAAGCCCATCCATCTCAATGTAGTCAGCACATACGACCAATTAACTCGGTCGTATGCCTTCTCCATGTCCAACATTAGCACCGCCATGTCACAGTCCTCGTTATTTACCACCTCCAGTACTTCGATTGCTGTTACAATGTTTTCGAAGATGGATCTGCCTCTTACAAATGCCGCTTGATCGTCTTGTACCAGTAGCGGTAGTTATCTTCCGAGCCTTTTGGCAAGCAGTTTGGCCAAAATCTTGTAGGATACATTGAGTACTGAGATTGGGCGTCAGTTCCTTATTTCGTTCGTGTCCCCCTTCTTGCACAGGATTGAGATGATTCCTTTGCGGGCGCTGCTAGGGAGCTTCCCTCCACTTAGGACTTCGTTGTAAACTTCCACCAGATCTTTCCCAATCACCTTCCAATGTTTCCGGTAGAACTCGACCGGGAGGCCATCATTCCACGGTGTCTTCCCATTTGCCATGGCCTGCAGGGCCTGTGCTGCTTCCTCCTCCGTCGCAGGTCGGTCGAGGTCCAGTCTTGCATGAACAGGTAACCAGCATGTTGTGCTCACCCAGTGATCTGATTGGATGGCCAAGTTTGTGTCTGGCCCTTCCTCTGGTCTCCGGGAGGTGAGGATATCTTTGTAGTATGTGGCGGCATATGCGCACATCAACTTTGGCTCCACCGCAATCGGTTCCTCTAGCTCGAAAGGGTGTTTGAGTTCCTTCATAGCGTGCGCTGTCTTCGAAGGAACCAACTTCTTGAAAGTCTCCTTGGTCATTCGATCATAGACTTCGATTCCCCGCACTTTCAGTCGTTCCGCCCACTGGTCTGCTTTTTCTTGCTGCAGTCTGTCCCAGTCCGCCAGCCTGCGTGTTCTTTCCTTACCCCATGTAAGTTCTGCTATGGGGTGTTCTTTGATTTTCCTCTCTGCCTCCTCAACTTTCTTCCAACACCTTCGTTCCGTCTTGTTCTGGTGTAGAGCTAATCCTGGAGAAGACATTAAGTAGGTTGGACAATATGCGGGAGCCCCCTTCCCACCAATCTACGGTGGTAAGGAAGTTCCCCTTCTGTTCTCCCCATTTTGACCAGAATTGCTGTGTCCACTCATTGAGCTCTTCGTTCCGCAGGTTCTGTACGTTGAAGTGGAAAAGACCTCTCCCACGCTGCATCTCTGGTCCCATCTGGAACATTGCGATCACCGGTTTGTGATCGGAGACCGGGTTGTTAGACTGACCGATCTCTACGACTGCGGCCTGGGCCAGTCCCGCTGTTAGGAAGTAGTCCAGCCGTCTGCCCTTGGCCTTCCCCGTAAACCAAGTGAAGCCATGTCCAACTGGGTGAAGGTCCCTATAAGAGTCCCTCAAGTCCCAGTCCGTCATTAGGTCTAGCAACACAGCGGTGTCCCTCGCACAACCTCTACTGCTGTTCAGACTGGCATCCAGAGATGTGTTCCAGTCCCCAGCAACAATCATATTATTGATGTCTGGGAGCACTACCTGCAGTTCCTCGAAGAATCTAATCGTCTGCTGTCTATCCACGGGGGCATACACTGAGACAAATGTCCACGGTATTCCCTGGATCCAAAGCACTACCCATGCCCAACGGCCCCAAAGGTCCGCATAGTAGTCTGTTATTTGTGCATCTAAGTCCCGGTGCACTAATATTCCCACTCCGCCCCTCGTTCCTCTTGCTGGAGCCCAGATTTGCGGGCCATCCCACCATGCCCCTAGTTGTGTTACTTTCTTGCAGTCCAACTTTGTTTCTTGAATACACGCAATTGAGATTCTGCTCTCGTGTATCCACGATCTCACTCTGTGTCTTTTGTGCCGCCCACTTGTGTCACAAAACCCCTGTAGGTTCCACGATGCTACTCGAACTTTAACCATTAGCAGCTCTATTCCCCTGCAGCTGTTCTTGGATGGAAGGATGCGTCCTCTTCTTGTGACCACGCCTGGGTCAACAATGTGCACAGATATGACGAGTCCAGCTTGCGTTTCTTTGGATATCTTATCTTCAGCTCCATGAGACAGTCAACTGTCCGCATCATCAGGGAGACACAAATTTTGCACAGATCCCGCCTGCGGGCTTCTGCAAAGATTTCCAGGGGGAGGGGGGCCGCATGCCTAGGGCTTCCATCTCCTCCAATTTTAACTCTGATAGCCGAGCGTCGATGAGCAGGACGAACAACTTAATCTTGTCTCCGCTTGGTCCATGAATTATGCGGGCCATCGGGATGTCCGGGATTGTTCTCGTCGGAAAGTACCCCAAGTACAGGCTGTTTACCACCTCATCAATTGATGTTAAGGTCAGCATATCCATCACCTACTGGCTGAATAAAGTTTGAGGACCGGCGTTTCGGTGCCATTGTGACGCCCAAACTCACGCCCAGCGCGACTTCCTGATCAGAGTGGGGTGGGGGCCCAGAAGTGCGAGAAAGGGGTGTGCCAAGGATTTTAGGAAAGTGGGGGTGGAGTCCCAGGTCGGAACTGAGATCTCCTGTGCCAAGTTTCGGGGGGAAAAGCGCAAAGAGGGTGTGCACAGGTCGTATTTGGTGCTTCTAATTCTCGTAAGATGGAGGGTAGACCGCTTTTCTGGGCTTGTGCACAAACGGGAAGCTGCTGATGTCGTGCAGCATAAGGCAGATGGCATGCGCAGTGCATCTCAGACTAAAGATCCCGGGTACTGTTCCACGATCACAGTACCGACAAATCTAAACACTCTTGTATTCTCGAACAAAATCCCAACAACATTGCCCCTGCCAACGAACTCGTGCTTGGTTGCGTGGTTCGACCAGTTGTCGGCGCTGCTCGGCTTCGATGCGGGTTCGCCGGGCGAATTCCGAGGCTCGATAGGCCTGGTGCCGCCGACACTTTATGCACGGCATGCGGGGCCAAGCGGGCTTTGGAATTCCATGCCACCACCGTGAGTTGGTGATATGGAAGGAGGAGATGGAAGGGAAGGAAACTGGTAGTAATAACGACGAAACCGGGGGATATGAAATACTGTGTGTTATAAGTATCGCGGCAAAGCCCTTGATCACGCGTTCTTTCAAGGTGATCACGCGTTCTTTCGCGGCAAAGCCCTTGATCACGCGTTCTTTCGCGGCAAAGTCCTTCCTTCTTGTCCCCAAATAGCCAACACCCGGTGTGTGAAGATGCCCTCGGACACTCAAAAAACAGCACCCATAGCCTTTTGGATGGGCATCGCTGCACTACACAGCACTCGGCATGCATCTGGCCGCTTTCTGGACCAGCTTCTTTCGGATGAGTCCAACGTTTTCAATGCGCCGGGTCGAGAAAGCGCCTAAATGCATGTAGAGTGCTTTGTCTGCAGCGAGGCCCGATGTTCCAACTTTTTCTGCGCCAGTGAACAACAACGGCCGGGCGAGCGTGAAAAGAGAGAGCAGAGGGGAAGTGGCAAAATTGAAATGCAGATCTAGAGATGTACAGAATCACTGCCAAATTGTGACATGCCTCTCTTTGCCAAATTTAAAATAAATAAGAAAAAGTTCAAAAAACAAAATATTTAATATTGTTATTTTTTTAATTTTAATGTTTTTTTTGGCCCAGCCGGGCAAGTGGTCCCGGGCCACTCTGGTAGCCTATTCTCACTTTTTTTTTTTTCTTCTCTTTTTTTTTTTTTTTTTTTTGCCCGGAAGCAGGACCTCATTTGGAGATAGTGTGCTTTTTGTCATTGCTCTGGATTTGTGGAACGAATTCTCGTTGCCTACAGGAAATATTTCTCTCTCATCATGATCCTCCCCCCCTCCTCCCCCCTCTTTTGGGCATTTTGAATCCGCATTGCCCAACTCCCTTCTTCATTCCTCCAATTGTACTCTCTGAAGGCCTGTGAATTCTGCAAACCCCTCATTTTATTTAGACTTCTTTCCTCTTCCCCCAAACACAACGCACCCCCATTCCGTCTGTACCTGACCCGAAATATAGCTTGTATACATTCACTATCTGGGTGCGTTATGTTCGGGGGGCGAAGACGCCAGTTTTCACTCTCACCTTTGCTTTCAGCTATAACTTTTGGTGTAAGCCCCCTACTTTGTCTGTTTTTGTCGTTTCTTCTCCCTGAGTACTTGGACACTGTGAGAGTGTGAAAGGCAACAAAGCAACAGAGAAGAGGAGTAGGGATTGCGAAACAGACAAGAGGGGAAATGGATGCAGAGTAAGGAGTTGTGTCAGTGGTAGGCCAGGTTCAGATGGTACACTACCGTAGGGTCAGGTCAGGTGGTAGGCGATTAATTTATTGAACGTTTGGAATGCATGCTGCATGTGATAAATGAGTAATTATTTTTTTTGTCGCACATGATGAGGGATCCTTGACATAAGTAAGCAGACCATAAGCAACGCAAATGATGCAAAATGCTTTCCATCCCTCACAAAAAAAAAAAATAATAATAATAATAATAAAATTTCTAACTTTGTGTTACATGTGGTATGCAGTGGCAGTGGCAGTGGCAGTGGCAGTGGCAGTGGCAGGGTATGAAACAGCTAGCGACTTGCAGGATGTCACATGAAATAAG